CTCAGAAAAGGCTTATACAATGAATAGAATGTGGATTGGTCTTAAATGGCAAGTGAGAGCCACGAGACTTAAGAAGGGTGCCTGTCAAGCAAAATAAAAATTGAGAATCCAAGGATATGGAGAAAAAACACACATACCCAATCAAAGCGTTGGGTTAATGAATGAAGACAGATAGCTCAGTCCTCATAAAACATAAACTCAAATGTGTTGCTCTATTTCTAGTCAAATTCTGATCAATGGAATAAAAACAGAAAAAAGTCCTTTAGAAAAAATAAGTCCATCAATTTATAACAGGACAAATTTTACTGGATTATTCAATTAAGAAAAAAAATCTAAAATTAACGGCTGTAAAATCAAGAGATCTCTAAGTACGTGCAAAATTTTGAATATGTATATTCTTAGGACAAGCAAATTCATCACTTTCTTCAGATTCTAAATGAGATCAATGATCCCAAACTGGTTAAGAACCTACAGATTTAATCCAAGTTTTTTGAGTACTCATTCGTCAGAAATTTTAAAGATAATTTCTTAAGTAAAAAATGTTACCACAAGGGTTGGGGTTGTGGCTCAGCAGTAGAGCACTCGTCTACACGTGCAAGGCCCTGGGTTCGATCCTCAGCATCACATAAAAAATAAATAAAATAAAGGTATTGTGTCCAATTACTTCTAAAAAATAAATATTTTTTTAAAAAAGTTACAACAGAAATGATACTATTTATATTTTTAGCTACTTTTCTAGGACTTTGTATAATTTGTAGTACTTAGTGCAAAACATGGATATATAAAATTATAATAAATGAAAGAAGAAAAGTTTGGATTTGACAACTAAAACTTCAACCATATCATATTGCATACTGAGAAGCAGGGTGTTTCATATAAGCAACATCTAAAAGACAGTACATCCATTTAAAGTCATTAGTCTGAGCAAAATATTTCCCACAGGCTACCCATGAAAGGCCAATAAACCAAACTGATAGTACAATATTGCCCTCTACTGGATTTAACTAGTAAGAATTAAGTCTCTAAAGCATTTAAGGACTTAATGGAATGCTCTTTTCCCACAAATGTGAATTTAGCCTAATATTAGCATAAGTCTGTGACATTCATTCTATAGTAATTTTTGTGTTGTGCTATGGTGTAGAAGTTTAGGGAAATCAACCATGAGTACACAAGGTAACAAAAAAAATTATACATTTTTTTCTACATAGGATTTTGGAGTTCAAAAAACTTAACATATATCTCTACAGAATAGTTTCTGTATAATTCCTTATAGATAAAAATTATTTCCCTCTCCATTCTATCCCAACAAGGAAAGAGAGAATTTATTGGGGGAAGGGGTGCTGGGAATTGATCTCAATGGCACTCAACAACTGAGCCACATCTCTAGCCCTATTTTGTATTTTCTTTAGAGACAGGGTCTCACCAAGTTGTTAAATGCTTTGCTTTTGCTGAGGCTGGCTTTGAACTCTCAATCCTCCTACCTCAGCCTCCTGAACCACTAGGATTACAGGTGTGCACACAGCGGAAAGAGGGATTTTAAGGAAATCCACTCCTCTACTCATCCTTGTTTCTCTCTCCTTTTAATCTCCATTTGATAATGTTCAGCAACATTTCACTCTCATCATACATCTTAACGTAGGTATATAACTTCTTGCCATATCATATATTACAGCTTTCCTTCTCACAAATATGGGCCTTATAAAGACTTATCCTTCCACTGTCACATTCAAAAGGTTAGCTCAAACCCAGAAAGTTACCATGACAGTCATGAGATATCTGCTTTTCTCCATTATAATTTCAACTTTATCATTTAAATTTTGTGTGCCATTATAAACTTTGGAGACACTAAGCATAAGGTCCGGATACTTTCCACACTGTTGTATTCTGTGACCTCTAAATACTGCCTCTGTTTATTTTGCTTACCATGGCTTACTTGCTGTCTTATAGTGTTTCATCAAATTATTTGCTTGTTTTTCTCCTCTTAAGCAGTTTTCAGTTTAAAGCTGTCCTGACCACATCGCTTATTCCTGAGAAAACACTTTGAGGAGATGTACTCTAAATCTCCTTCCATATTCTTCCAAACTCAGTGAAAAAATAATGATAATTACACTAACTGCTGTCTTTTTCCTTAAACTTTTAAATTAATGTTTAAATGAAGATAAATAAAAACTATGGCTTATAATCAGAAATAGGATTGTTAAGAGTTTTATATTTTAAAAATATTTTACTTGGGGCTGGGGATGTGGCTCAAGCAGTGGCGCGCTCGCCTGGCATGCGTGCGGCCCGGGTTCGATCCTCAGCACCACATACAAAGATGTTGTGTCTGCCAAAAACTAAAAAAATAAAAATAAATAAATATTAAAAAAATTCTCTCTCTCTCACTCTCACTTAAAAAAAAAATTTAAAAAAATATTTTACTTGAGGTCACTCCTTTCCTTGGTCCTTCTGTAAGCAGAAATAAAACAAATACTACCATATTGATAAAATTTTTGCTTTCAAATCAATATATCAGTGATCATAATTTAGTTCTTAGAAATGGAAAAAATCAAATCTTTAAATTGACTCAATTGTATATTCCACACTGAATGATGAGATAACCGCACCAATCAATTTCATGTATATTGACATGTTTATTCTATATAAAACAAGCAAGTTCTAAGTTAAAATATTTAAAAGATCTAAGCTCAAAGCCATAATATAGAATAAAGAAGTCACAGAATTTATATTCAAAATGCAAGACTATTCTGAGGACATGAATAATTAAATTGGGATATGTAAAAAATTAAATATAAATTTTATATATAATTTTATAATTTTATATAAATTAAATATAAATTAAATTTTTATTTTTAATAAAAAATATTAAAAAGCCGGGAGCAGTGACGCAAGCCTGTAATCCCAGGAGCTCAGGATACTGGGGCAGGAAGATTGAAAGTTTAAAGCCAGTCTCAGTAAAAGCAAGGTGCTTAGCAGCTCAGTGAGATCCTGTCTCTAAATAAAAATACAAAATAGGGCTGGGATGGGGCTCAGTGGCCGAGTGCACCTGAGTTCAATTCCCAGTACTCAAAAAATATATATTTTAAAGAGTAATTTATTTTAAGTCTGGCTTGCACAGCATATCTGAACTCCAAAGAAGTATAAAAGATGGCAAGAAAAGAAAATAACAGCCAGGCCAGGTGGTTCATGCCCATAATTCCAGCGGCTCAGGAGGCTAAGGCAGGAGGATCGAGAGTTCAAAGCTAGTGAGACCCTGTCTCTAAATAAAATACAAAATAGGGCCTGGGATATAGCTCAGGGGTTGAGTGCCCCTGAGTTTAATCCCCGATACAACCCAAAAAATCCAGTAACAACATATAATAATAAAAGAAAATTCAAAAATGAACCATGAAACATAATTTTCTGAAGAAATATGAGACACAAAGAGTACATTGCATTTAAAGCCTTATACTTCGAAATAATGGTTATTCTTAAACGAATAGATAAAATGTTACCTAGTAACAGAAATGAAAACACTTCATACAAAGTTATAGAAACATATTAATTCTCCAATAAATGGAATAGTCAGGTTTCTGCTAAACAGTTTATTGGCTAAAATCAGTTACAAAAAGTAAGCAGAATAATTCTGTTTTTTAAGGACAGCATCTCTTATTTTTTTTAATATTTATTTTTTTAATTGTAGTTGGACACAATACCTTTATTTTAATATGGTGCTGAGGATTGAACCCAGGGCATCTCATGCCCTAAGCAAGCACTCTACTGCTGAGCCACAACCCCAGGCCAGCATCATCTTCTATTTTTAATATGAAATATAAATACCTCACAAGTATTTGATAAATATTAAATTAATATTGTTCAAATGATAAATGGATACCCATGATTTTAATGTACAAATATAAACCTTAAGAAGTTTATATTTTGTAGTAAAATACATAACCACATATGGAAAATATACTTCATATTCCTATTTTTGTTCTGCAAACACTGCAACTTTTGTGAGTCATTTTGCTTTTGGAAGTCTGTTTCTCTCTACCAAAACTGGACCTGAGTTGTCTATCACTGAGAAATACTTAAACGACTGGCAAGAAAATAATTCTGTTTATAAACCTCAGGAAATCGTCATCAACCCCTTTGTTCTTCCATTTGCTAAGTTATCTTGTCATCAAGATATACTACTTAAAATTATTCTCTTCTTTCTCACTTCCCAGCTCTTATCATTCTATCCATCCTAAATAAGTCTTAATTTAATCTTTGGCCTTTTTGTGACTAACAAACATGCTCAAAGAAAGTGATATAGTATAAGATGTAATATTTTGGTGACACTTTGGGATTCTTAGGGAAAGACACTTCAAAAATGTAAATGGGTATGTTTAGAAACTCATTACAGAAATCTTTATACAATATTTAATAGTATTAACAAAGACAGGTTTTTTGCTAACAAAGAAAAAAGTTTATATATGAAGCTATTTTTCTCCTTTTCATCAATGACTATATAAGGTGCTACCTTTTTATACTTTTAGACTCCAGAGAATAAGAAAATTCATCATAATTGAAATGACCCTTACCCTAAGAATATTATAACATTCTTATATCTACCTTAAAGAATCTCTGGAGTCCAGGGTCAAATGTCTTTCTCTATTTTGCCTCATACAAACTTAATGCTCAATAAATATTTATTTTTGAATAAGGATCTTTAAAAATATAAAGTACAGGGGGCTGTGGGTGTAGCTCTGTGATAGAGCATGTGCTTAGCATGCATAAGGCCCTGGGTTCCATCCTCAGCTTTAAAAAAAAAAAAAAGGCAGTCTTGGCATTAATAAACTAAATTAAATCAATAAATTCTTTTTTATTTATCTACTCAACAAATATAAAATCTTTCAATCATTCAAGAAGTACACAAAATTTGTTAAACATAATAGGGTAAGGAATATTTTCACATTCCTATTTTAAGAAATTCCTAGCATGCATTTTACATGTAGCATTATGTATGAAAAAGAACTTACCTCTCTTACAGAGAGCTGTGGTGGGAAGGAGACTGAAAATACCAAGTTTGTGAATTCAAACCCAGAGGCCTCAACCTTTTGACACACCTAAAAAAGTATTACATTTATGTAAATTCCCAAGAATAGCTAAAAATTTTAAATTTCATAACATGAATTTCTAGTCTAGGAAAAGACACTGCAAAATTTCAAAACTCACACTTTGGGGCTGGGGATTTAGGTTGAGTGGTAGAGGACCTTTCCTAGCATACACCAGGGCCTGGTTAAATGCTTAGCACCACAAAAGAAAAAAACATACATCTCTCTCTCTCTCTCTCTCTCTCACTCTCACACACACACACACACACACACACAGAGTGGGGAACTCTTATAAACCTTCTGAAATTAAATATTTGCTATCACCCTCAAGATAAGTGTCATAAAGTACCAAAACAGCCAGGAGTGACGCCTGCAGAACAATCCGATGAATGTCAAAATAGTTTTCTGTTAGGTCATCTCATAATTTTAAATATTTTCAAATAAAATAAAGCCAACTATAGTGCTCTTGACAGCAAGAAACAAAAGGCAACCCCACATCCAGTAATTAATCATTTTCAAGGCTGTAACACTTGTTTTTTCTAGGTAATGTTAGCTATGACTAAGAAAGAACTTTTCTCCAACTCCTGAACTATGTTAAAAGCAAAGGAAAACAAAATGCTATATTTTTCTTCAATTGAATATCACTAATGACTGAAAAATAAGGATATAAATTCCATTAATTTTCAAATATGTTGATGCAAAGGAATGTCAGAATAGCAGGCTTTTCTTTTTCTATTTTAATACCAGAGATTGAACCCAGGATGCTTACCCACTGAGCCACATTTTCAGCTTTTTATTATTTTGAGATAGGGTCTCACTAAGTAGCTTAGGGCTTGGCTAAGTTGCTGAGGCTGGCTTTGAACTTGCAATTCTCCTGCCTCAGCCTCCCAAAAGACAAGGGATTACAGGCCTATACCAGCAAGTATAGTAGGCTCTTCAAAAAAAAAATTTTTTTTTAAATATTTTAGTGGTTCATTCATGTGAAACAAGTTAAAATAACAGCACCATTCCTTTCCATACAAGAATTCTAAGCTTAGGGGCTGGGGTTGTGGCTCAGCCGTAGAGCACTCGCCTAGCACGTGCTAGGCGCTGGGTTCAATCCTCAGCACCACATAACAATAAATAAAATAAAGATATTGTGACCAACTACAAAAAAAAAAAAAAGAATTCTAAGCCTTAAAACTGAAAATCTACATAATTATCCCTATAATAAGAAACAAATCATTTACCTTTTTAATGAACTCTTTCTCACAGAATTCTTGAAGAATTCCTAGGCAAACATTGCATACATTTACATTTAAATTTGAGTTTGGGGAAGCAATGCTCCCATCTTCAATAACAGAGATCTTGTTCTCCCCATTTTGACTCGGATTATCAATCCCATCTTCCAGTTCTTGAAGCCGAATTTTCTTGAGAGGTGGGTTTGGAACTTCCAAAATTAATTCATCTTTTTCAGCTTTCAGAAATTTCTGTATATCATTAAGCAACTCCTGAAAAGTTAATAAAATAAAATAAAGGAATGACCCTTTTATGATGTCCTTAAGGAGTTCTGGATAAGATGAAGCAAGAAAACGTAAGTGAAAATTATAGCAGATCAAGTTATATAGATCAAATTATAGCAGTGTACATAGATTGTACACTGTTGATTTACATCAATTCTAAAGCAATTATTTTATTAACCAGCATTGGCTTTCTAAGGAATTTAAGAAAAACTTATATATAATTTATATATTTATATGTGTAAATATCAAGAGTCCCATATATCAGATAACCTAAAACCCTAAATCTTAGGTAAAAAGGCTCCATTAACAAATTTACTAATTTGGTCAGTAGTTCTTTCTTGTAAGAGTATTCACTACCTAATTTCAATAAAAACAAACTTGAATTCTAATTATTAATATTATATAAAAATACAAACAGAGCTGGGGATGTAGCTGAGTGGTAGAGTACCTCCTCAGCATGTAGAAGGCCCTAGGTTTGAATCCCAACACTTCATCTTCAAATAAAAAGAAGAAAATACAAAGTGAGTTTCCATCTTCCATAATCTCACAAACATGAAAACCTCACAAGTACAATATTTGTTTAATATGAAATTTGATCATTTAGACATAGAAGTCTATTAATTAAAAAAAAAAGAAGAACAATTTTGAGACAACTTACTAACAAAGGACAGAGATGCTGGCAGTGCTGAAATTAGGCATCATAATTTCAAACCATACGTAAACATTAATTGAAAGAAACTCTCTCTATATTCTGGTTTGCTTAATTTCGTGTATTAGAATGTAAAAACTAGCATTCCTTTTAAAATATTCTCATACTTCAGATAGTCTACTCATGGAAATAGTCAGAGAATGTTTACTATTTCTTCATTAGGTTTTATTATTTAGTTGTTGAAGAATATCTTTATGAAATTCATTCAGATTACACTACTGACTCTAAAGGGAAAAATCTTTCAAATTAATTGATTTCATTGCAACATTAGTTAATTCTGTTTCAACATGGAAATACTCATATACACAGCACACATAAGTATATTATGACCCACAAAAATGTTTATTACTTACTATCTATAATGTCAGCATAACATAGTACATGTATATGTACACAGGCCTATATACCTATGAATGTAACAAATCAAAATTTAAAAACACTTAAAAATAGTTTTCAAATGTTTTGTATATTTACATAAAATGATATGAGCAAAAGTTGGCAACACTTGGTATCTTCATATAATATACATTGTGAATCTTATGACATGTATAATGTGTCTGAAAAAAAATGTATACAGAAGGTTACCCAAAACCAGTCACCTTGTATATAAATGAATATATGCATATATATTGATCATCACAGAATATGTGCCACTTTCAGTTTTCAAAGTTTTTTCACATACTTTATTAGATATTGTCCCTTAATATCCTGTGAGGTAGATGTTATCATCATTCCCATTTACAGAAGAGTAAAGTGAAGCTGGAAAGCAGTGGAACTGGGATTCAAATCCATTTCTTCTAGCTCCAAATCCTAGGCTTTGGACTCTGACACAGACTGTTCAAATCCTAGCTTGCTCACTTAATAGCTGTGTAACTTTGGACAGGTTGTTTAACCTCTCTGTGCCTCAGTTTCTTCATCTGAAAATAGAGACAATCATAGTATGTACTTACCTAATAAGTTATTACTGGGATTACGTAAGAACTTGATATATAGTAATGCTAAGTGAATAATGAGCATTATATTTTCTAAAATAATAGGAACAACAAATATAGAAGAAAAATGAAGGTGATTGTTAATTGCTGGACAGGTTTTTAAATTTTAAGAAACTGAGGATGTATGTATATGAGTGTGTGTGTATATTTACACACATACTGTTACTATCTCTGAAAAGAATGTCAAAATATATTCGTCAAACATATTTCACAAACATATTTTATGTGACAGTATCCCATTAAATGACAAAGTTCTGCTTATTACCATAAATGTCAAAGATCTCTACACATTACTTTTGTTGTAATTAATAGAATAATGATGACAACAAGCATTTACTTCTACAGTGTTCAAATACAGTCATACACCATAGAATGTTTCCATCAACAAAGGATTGCATATACAAATGATTGTCCCTGAAGACTGTGTTGCCTAGTGATATCATAGCCATCTTAGTTTGTAAGAGTATACTCTAAATATTTGTACAAGCACAAAATCACCTAAGGTCACATCTCTCAGAATGCATCCCCTTTGTTAGGCAATATAAGATTTCAGCTATTTAGAAATATGACTGGAAATATTGATAAAAGGCAAAAAAAAAAAATGCTTCCACTTAAGAGAAGTCTGAACTACAATCCTTTCATGTCACATCTTACTAATACCTGGTGAGAAGCAATATTTTGTGATATTATATTGAGATAACTTTTAGGAAAGGTGTACATAAACACTCAGTGTACCAGAGTATTCCTCCACAAAGATCCCTCTACACTAAATGTTAAATAATCACTCAAGAAGCAATTCCTAGGGAACAAAAATTCCTATAATTGCTTAAGAAAAAAATCCTAGACTAATTTTTAAGGTAATGACAAGTCCAAAATTATAATTATCAGTCGTTATTTTATTAGCAAATTTTTATTTAATGAAGAATTATGGATACTTTCCCTCAAAGGTATCGGCATTCCTTTTAAAATACAGAAAATCTTTCTTATCTTAAAAAAAATGGAAATACCTCATATGAATGTTTGTATGGTGCATGAAAATCCACGCCACAGAATCTGAAGATACATCTTGGACAGGTGCCAGTACCGAACAACAACTGAGCCACAAGCTTATTTTCCTCAGTCAGTGGAAACATGCTTAATTATAACTGGAAAGAAAGAAAAGAAAAAATAACAAGCAGTTTCAGTATTTTACTGTCACAGACAAGTATGCTATCACCCTTAGAAATTAAAACTATTTTTTATGTGTTTTATGCTCTCCCTTTTCATTATATGTAAATTCTAAAATACTAACTTGAAGGAAATTTGTAAGATGGCAAGAAGCCCAATGTGATGGCTCTTGCCTAGTCCCAGCTACTGTAAAGGCTGAAAAAGGAGGATCCGTTGAGTTCATGAGTTCAAGGCCAGCCTGGGAAATATAGCAAGACCCCACGCAAAAAAAAAAAAAAAGGATCAAATATGTTTCTAATTATCAAGAAATTTGGGGTTAGCATTCTGGATTATGATAAAGTGTGTCATTATAAGTAAGTCAATCAAAAAAAACTAAGAATAACTGTTTCCTTTTTTTTTTTTTTTTTAATGCTTCTGGGGATTGAACTCAGGTCCTGGTGCATGCTAGGCAAGCACTCTACCACTGAGCTACATGCCCCACCACCACCACTCTTTTTATTTTGAGACAAGGTATCACCAAGTTACCAAGGCTAGCCTCTGACTTTAGATCCTCTTGCCTCAGCCTCCTGAGTCGCTGGGATTACAGGCATGTACCACTCAGTACTATTTGAGAACAAAGTAGCTAATTCATTAAACTTTTAAATTAAAAATGAGTTTGCTAAGAAAAAATTCAGATCAGTCTACATTATATATATTTGGCTACCCTTAATGATAGTTTAGCAATCAAGTATTAAGACAAATTGATCAGGATGTCCAAAAACATCAACTTTATTTTGATGCTATAACAGCTAAATGTCAACTAGTGGTCAGCAAAATGAAAACAAATTCCTCCTTTCATCCATAAGTAAAACCTCCAAGGGGTACCAAAAATGCAAAATTACCTAATCACTGTATGTTTGGTAAAAATAAATATGATTAGTGAATCAGTCTATATCACTTTTAAAATGATGAACTAGTTAGCAGGGCATGGTCACACACACCTGTACTCTCAGGGATTTGGGAGGCTGAGGTAGGAAGATCCCAAGTTTGAAGCCAGCCTCAGCAATTTAGCAAGACTGTCTCAAAATAATAATAAAAAGAACCTAGATTGCAGCTCAGTAGTAAAGCACCCCTGGATTCAATCCACATACGCAGGGCTTTGCACATACCATGCAAGTGCTCTACCAATGCGCTATATTCCCAGCCCATGAACTAGTGATATTTTATGATATAATGAATTTATGGCAATGTGGAATGGTATAACTACGGTCATTTAGATAAGACCACAGTACCTTTTGATTTGTATAATTTTGTAGTTCAAATAAACTTGATAAAAATATGTAGGAGAATGAAGTACTTACCAACAACATACTATGGAGATACAAGACTTATAATTAGTGTGCTTTACAACCCTTTAAAACTCACTACTTATTTACAAGTCTCTATATGTTTGTGGCTACTAATCAAGAGAAGTTGATTCTTAACATAAAATAACAAGGGAAACAGTTATATAATTCTGAAGATCTCTTCACTATAAAAAGCAGTTCAGCAGCCACATTACAAAAAACATATTGCTTCTGCATAGGTTCTAACTCATGAATATGTGAGTTTTCAGGAAGAAGACGAGAAGACAGGCTTGTCTGGACACATGATTGAAAACTTTCAGACATCAGGACTGGTAAATACTTATTCAGGGTTACCTAAGTAAATCTGAGCTCCAGGGTACTTTCAAGAAAGTACTTCAAATGTGGGGAGAACAGCCTCTTAAAAAAATGAAACTGTGGGGGCTGGGGTCGTGGCTCAAATGGTAGAGTACTGGCCTCGCATGTATGAGGCACTGGGTTCGAGGCACTGGGTTCAATCCTCAGCACCACATAAAAACAAACAAAATAAAGATATTGTATCCACCTAAAAATAAAAATAAAATTTTAAAAAAGAAACTGTGTAGTTAAATCAATATTCTTTACAAGGATCAGAATCCCTTACCCCAGCCCACTGAGTCTGTTTGATGCTAAGAAGGGACTGGGATTCTGTGAGGGCCTGAATATAAACATTTAAAGTGCATCCCTCAGGCTACCCTCACAGAGAAACTGTTTCTGTCTAACCCATTATTTTTTTTCTCCTCTTTTCCATTAATTCAAAAAGAGAAACAAATACACTTTCTTCAATAGGTGCTTTATAAAGACACGTCCTACTGAAGCTTTTCTTGGGCACTCACATAGCTACATTTAGATTTTTTCTCTCTCCTTTTGGCTTAAAGACTGAATGTTATTTCTCCAATAAGTTCACTTAGAATAAAGGTATCATGCTGTCAGCAAATGACACATTACGATCACCTGGCTCTAGAAGTTCCCAAACCTGTTTAGAATTACAAAACCTCCTGTCCTGAATAATTTGAAGTCTAAAAAACGCTCAAGAAAAAAACTCGAGTATATGTTAATAATTAAGCTATGATTTACAAACCTCTTAACAACATTCTCATCTAGCAATATCTAACGACTTCTCGAGCCCATTAAAAGAAGGAAATATGCCTTAAATTTGGTTATTTCTTCTTAATATAATGAAATGATAGGATTTCAAAAGAAACCAGTTGTGCTATATTAGATTATTTTTGAAAACAAGCCCGGAAGAAAGCGTCTCACGCTGAAAGTTTTCCAGTATTAGTTGCCGTTGTTAGGATTCTTGCTTTTTGTTTACCTATTTGTTTTACAGGGAAAGGGGAAGGGGGAATAAAACCCCTCTGGAACAAGTTGCAACAGAACCGCCTCCCACGTGTCAGAATCCCTTCTCCACCAGCCAACCATAACCAGACCAGTCTCTAATTTAATAAAGAGACTTTCTTCTCATCTCTTGGACGATTACAAAAACCTTTTACCGAACAGGAGGGAAGGAACAGGATATGAGAAAACCTACCAAAATGATCACACCTGTCTTACACCACGAGATCTTTTAAAATTAGTTTCCATACACACAAATGTCACTCCTCGGTGGTGTGGGGATGCGGATTTCTAGGGAAGGAGGTGTTCAAGACTTCAGTGAGCAGCAGACAAACTCAGCTATGGACTCTAACTTGGGATACTGGAAATTTCACCCCCACGGTCCTGGAGTCTGTTTTGGCCAACTAAGCCCTTACCCTCTTCGCTCAGGTCCAAGAAACTTCCATTCACCCTTCCCAATAAAGCCACTCAAGCGGTAGGGAAACGAGCCCTTCTAGGGACACCTCTCTAGCACCGGGTCCGCAGCCCCTCACCTCAGACCTCCCCGCCTTACCTTCTCCCAAGATCCTGGAGCCTAATATTTAACCCCTTCCGGCCCTCAGAGGGAACTGGGAAGACTAAAGACAACGCACCTATTGCGCTTTAGCAATTCTGTTCCCCGAGGAAACCAGAGCTTTAGAACGAAAGTACCAGGCCTCTCTGGAGAGGAATGAGTGAACTTCTCCCCCGTTTGTTTATAGGGAAATCTGCAACACTGCTGGCTTACAGCCTCACACCCTACCTCCCTCACTACTGCAAAAGTGCGTGGGACTTCACACCCAGCGGGAGAGGTCCAGTCCCAGAGAAGCTTTCGTGGGACTTTGCATCTAGAACAGTGTAGCCGCTACCAGAAATATCGATGAACACTTACTCCTCAATTTTAGAACAGAAACTCTTTGTAGGGTAAACAAAAAGATGGTGTTTCTTCCCATGATCTAGTGGTATCCGCCTGCCCTCTAGTCGCACCTGGCGAAGTACCACGAGCCTGCCCTGACTTGCAGGAGTGGGCGGGGCAGAGAGTTCGGCTTTCTGCCTATAATGCCTGACGCTCGAGGTGCTGGTGTACCAGGGCCTGCACAGTCCGGGTGCCGAGCGGGAGCCGAGCGGAGGCGGAGAGATGGCGTCTCAGCCTCCCCCTCCCCCGAAACCCTGGGAGACCCGCCGAATTCCAGGAGCTGGGCCGGGACCGGGACCCGGCCCCACTTTCCAGTGAGTGTGGGACTCTTTCGGGATCGAGCTTGGTGGGCCGGAGCGAGGATTGGGCTGGCGGCAGTTGAGGCCGTTATTAGGGGGAGATACCTCCCCACCGCCTTCTCCCGGCCTCCTACTTTGGGAGGGTGGAGGGGTAGAGTTAGGACCGGGGCGCTTCCGGAGAGGGTTTCGAGGTCTGACAGCTGTTTCCTATCCGACAGCAACCTTTTTCCTAGAGCTCTTCGGCGTCTCGCTGGGTGCCACAGCTTGTAAGAAAAGGGGGCGGCTTCCTGCCTTTTTGTTTTTGCAGGACGGGGGCAATACTGCTTGACCCCCTTTAAAGCGTCAGATTTTGGTACCGTAGCAGTTGAGAGCGGCGTTTGCGCAGCCCCCGCAACGATAGAGAGCAAAAGTCATTAGTGAAAAGCTATTTACAACCTCAGGAGAAGTTGGTGAAAGCCCAAAAGGTCACTTTTACGCAACTGGAATCCAACTTGGCGTTGTTTTCCAGCATAACTCAGCTAATGTTTCGAACTGAGATTTGGAGACAGAACTTTAAAGCAGGAATTCTAAATCTGTGGATGGTCTGGGAGTGGCCTTTCTGTACAGAAAGGTATTTTTCTAGGGCCTATAGGTTTTTGTTTTGTTTTGTTTTTAGTTAACACCAAATCGGTCTGCAACTTTTAAAAAGTTGAAACATACAGAATTAGAAGTTTCACGATCGTATTTTTTTTTCTGCTGGGTAAATGGACATCTTAATTCGAGTGGCGTGATTCCTGTATACTCTTGTAGGTTGTCCTAACTCATACAAATCCCTAATGTATTGAAATGTGTTTATTCTGAAATCTTGTAATCTTTTATTTACACGCTAAAGTGCTTGAATACAATATCTAATGATAGATGCATAACAAGTAATAGCTTTAATTATTTCTGTTAAGTAAGGTCAACACTTTTGCCATATTTTTAATGAGTGATTCTTTTTTCTCATTTAGACTGCTTGTTGGAAGATAAAGTTTTCATTTTTGCATGTTAAGGTTCTGTTGATATAAAATTAACGATTTCCCCTTTTTCTTTAATATGAAATGTTTTAAAAAACACAAAGACTGGTCAGGTGTAAGGTAATGCTTGTGTATTCACCACCCAGCCTTGAGAAGTGTTAATATTTGCCAGATTTTTAAAAATTTTTTTTAGTTGTAGATGGACACAATACCTTTATTTTATTTGTTTATTTTATGTGGTGCTTCACGCAACCACAACCCCAGCCCTACCAGATTTTTTAAAAATAAAAGATAAACTATGCCATTCTTCTTTTCAATAGTAACTATTGTCTCTATTTTGTGTTTAGTGTATCGAAAAATGTTTTTAAACTTTAGTACTTAGGTTCATTTTATTTCATATATATGTGTACATATTATCATCTAAAGCTTAAAAACATATAAGCAGTAATATTTTTTAAATGAAAATATTTTTTCATTTTATTTTTTCTGTTGTCTTTGTTTATCAGTTTGTGAGAGTACATCATTGTGTTTTGCTAATCTTTCAGTCTGTGGCTTGTCTTTATATTTGTGCTTACTTTTGTACAGATTTTTAATTTTAATATAGCCCAAATTGTCATATTATTTGTGTTTTTGTCATAGATAAACCACTTCTACCTAGATTAGGAAACTTTTCTCTATATTTTCTTTGAAACGTTCTGATTTTCACATTCTGATCTTTAATCCACCTAGAACTGGCTTTGATGTACAGAAATCAGTGTAAAGTACGAAATCTGTTTTGTTTTGTTTTTTTCCTATGTGCATAACTAATCACCCCAGCATTATTTACTGGATATATTCCATCTTAGTTTATAATGCCATCTGTCTCATACCAGGTTTTCTAAACTGTGTAGTTCTTTGGGGGAAACTATCTTACTTGTTCTAGTGATCTATTTGTTCTTTTGCTAGCACTACACTGTCCTAATTAGAGCTTCATACATGCACATATGCACCAGGCTCCTGGTCTTAAGTCATTCTCCTTCCTCAGACTCCCAAGTAGCTGGGACTACCTGTGTGCCCGGCTGCAACTAACTAGTTTTGATATGTATTTATGTCAAGAGGCTCCACACATTGCTGTTCTTCAAAATTGCCTTAATTACACTTAATCTTCATGAAAAGACTTACTGGAAGTTTTCTTGAATTTATACATCAAATAAGTCTCTCCTTTATTGTGTGTGTAAGGTACAGTTGGTGAGAATTTTGTTCTTTTTTTTTTTTTGCCTTTATTAATGTCATAAAGATCTCCATGATGCCCTTTCTCTTATATTTTATTCCTAGATTTTATATGTGTGTATATATGTTGCTGTTGTAATGTGATCTTTTCTTTTATACTTTCCATTTGGTTATTAACTGGTGTGTCAGAGTACTAAATTTTTTTTCTTTTTTTGGTATTGGGGATTGAACCCAGGGGCACTTTACACTAAGCTACATCCTCAGCCCTTTTTATTTTTATTTATTTTATCTTATAAATATATAGACAGGGTCTTGCTAAGTTGCTGAGGCTGGCCTTGAACTTGCAATACTCCTGCCTCAACCTCTCAAGTCACAGGGATTATAGGCATGCATCACCAAGCCCAGCTTGATATTTTTTCAGTATAAATATGAATAATGTCAAACTCTTTAATTCGTTTTAATGGTTTGGTTGAAATTGTCTCATTCCGTATAAATGATTCTGTTATTTACAGCTAAACCAAGAGTTAGCCAGCATTGTTGTATTGGTACTGACTTCCATTGGAATGGTTACATTTTGTTTTTGATAGATCCCTGTCTAAATTCTCACTACCTTACTCAGATTTTTTTAAATATTTTTTTTTGTAGTTTGTACACAATAACTTATTTATTTTTATGTGGTGCTGAGGATCGAACCCAGGGCCTTGCACATGCGAGGCAAGCGCTCTACCGCTGAGCCATAACTCCAGTCCCACTCAGATTTTTATTATGAAGAGTATTAAATTTTATGAATGCTTTTCTGTATCGGTTAAGATTATATGCATTTTTTAAATATAAAAATATTGCTTACTGTACTTACTTTCTAAAACTGAATTATCTTGCATTTTTGGATGAATTCTGATTAGTTGTTGTTTTATATGCAATCCTGAATTCTGTTATTTTAAGACTTTTGTATATATGTTTGTAGGTGAAATTGAAATATTGTTTCTTTGTACTACTCTAGTTTCATTTCAGAATTTTACAGCCTGAGAAATGTATTCCTAATTTGTCTTTTTTTTTAATAGATAGATTATCTTCCCCTTTGTAGCTTTTAAGATTTCATATGCTAACTCTGACATTATTATGCTGTATTGGGTAATAATATATAGACATATTTTTTCCTCCTCTACAGTGTTTAATCTTATTCATGTTTTTCTTTAATTCAGGAAAATTCTCATAAGTTATATCTTTAAATATTGTTTAGGCACAGTTTTTCCCCCATTTATTCTCCCATTAGACACTTATATCAGAAATAGTTTCTGCTAAAAGTAACAATATCTTACTGTGCTTTGAACAATTAAAGACATTTACTGTTTGGTTAGCAAGAAGCCTAGAGATCTGCTGTCTCAACATTGTCACCAAGGGAACTGAACTTTTCCTGGCTTCCTTCTTTTCTGTCTGCTTTTTCTTGCTCCTTTAAAAAGAACCCAACTCCCCCACCCCACCCCCGGCAGCTTTCAAGATTTTTCTGTTTTGGGTTTTCAATTATACTTTATTGGGTTTCGGTATGGTTTTTCTTTGTATTATTCTGAGTGGTATTCATAGGGACGCTTAAATCTGACTTTGATATTTTTCATTAATTTGAGAGAAGTTTCACCCATTGTCCCTTCAAATATTGCTTCTGTCTATTCTCTCTTTACTCCTTTAAATCAAATTACATATATATACACCCTGTATTTCTTTATATACCTTGTAGGCTATTAAGCTAGTCACTGAGTTCATGTTTCAGAGGGGTTTTTTGTTTGAGTTAGGTTTGGTTTTGGGGAGTGTTGTGTGTGTGTATGTATATATGGTGTTTAGTTTTAGATCCATTTGATCTGGCTTTATGGTTTCTATTCTCTGCTGAAAAATCCCAATATTGTCAGTTTTTTTATTAAACAGTTGTTTAAAGTCTCTAATAACTCCATTTTCTAGATCTCCTATAGAGCTCTTTGTATTATCTGATAATTCTCTTCTAAAAAAAAAAAAAACATGATTTTATCATAATGTAGGCCCAATTATTTTTTAATGGGAGATGGACATCACATATAGATGGTTTTAAGTTATTGGAGGACTAGTAATAGTATCTTCCTTCAGAGATTTTTATTTTTGACCAGAATGGCTAGTCACTAGCAATCTAGAATTAATTTAATCCAATTAGGATTGAGTTGATTTGAAACTGGTTTTCTTACCAAGGCTAGTTTATTTTCTGTTAGCCTTTTCACCCTTACTCCAACCATATAGCCCTTTAAGGTCCCAGTCTGAAGTGTGAGAGTACTGTAGCTCTCCTCTTTTAGAGTTCTAAACTCTAGTTTATCCTCTTAACCCAGGGATTCTATCTAACACTGCCCAGTTTCTCATCCTATCAGCCATCTTCCTGAATTAGCCTTGGTCCCTGGAGAAACATCTCAAAATGTTGTTCTTTCTGGGTCTTTTCTTGTGGATCTTGACTCTAAAACTCCTCACTGCCTGTTCACTAACACTTTAAACACACATTTTTCTTTTTCCTAGCTTTTCTACTTTTTTTCAGTTGTAGGGTTAGTCTAATTACCTAGACTACCATTACTTCAAGTGAAATTCCCAAATTCTATAATTCTACTCTACTCCTTACAACTTTGTTTTTATAGCAACTAAACTTTTTTCTTGTTTCATAGTTGCAAGATAGCTGCTGTTGCTGTGGATATCATGTCTTAGATTTTTTTTCATTATTAAGATGCTTTTAATTCATATGAGTTTTTTCACAGATGATATTGCTTGCAGTGTTTATCTCTGTGATATTTTTAAACATATCTAGAA